ACGTGCAATTGCAATAATTTGCGGCCAGTTATGCAAGAGGATATTTCTGCTCAGACTGTCCAGCTTGTAGGACTCCAGAAGGCAGGTTGGAAGTTTGTTCTTCCGGAATGCTCTCAGGCCTATTTGTGCTGCAAAATGTTACAAGAATGAAAGTTTTTAATTAATCATACTGATGCTGCCTCATGTGTTCATCCTGGGCTGCCTTTACTGCTATGTTCACAGTGAATCACACTCACCCTGCATTGAAAATGTGTGAACCTTCTAGGTAGGCACTGCAGTGTCCCTCCAGAGAGCACCCCGTTTTACCCTAATATTAGGGAATAAGGGCCATCTTTCAGAGGCTCTGTTGGGCTGGAGATTACCCATGGAAGCATCAACAGGCTGTTGCTTCAAGCTGTACAAGGAAGAGTGACAACTTGGGGTGACAGTACAGCTTTCGCAGGCACCCCTCATGCCTGTGTGCTACATGACGGGAGGTGGTGTGGAAGGTGGGACAGCACAGTTGAGAGATGAAATATCTTTAAAAGGGAAAATCGACTTTTTAAGTGTTTCATACTCTCCCTATAGAAATAGTTTATTTTCAAGAGAGTGACTCAAGCTAGCACACTTGACAACAAATGCAGGAAGCATCTATGCCTTACAAGGTCTAGCTCCACACCTTCTTCCAAGCCTTACTCGTAGAAAGGTTAGGGTTGGAAGGGACCTCAAAGATCATCGAGTTCCAAACTCCGTCTTATTGTTGTTGCTCCTTCATCCTTACGCCATTGCTGTTCTCTCAAGAAACTGTTGCTCCTTCTTCCTCTTTGATGCCAGTCTTAGCATCATTGAATCCTAAGCTAGGGGTTTAAACTTGCCAGCATCATGGGCACTGTTGGCAGTAGTTTCAGCGTCTTCTAGAGGCACCACTTTGTCTCTGTCTGGAGTTCAGCAAGGACTTTTCCTTGTGTGGTCTTCATGATACAACACATGAGTAATGTGGTCATGGTTTGCCAAAGAATCATAGAATCATATGGGGTTGGAAGGGACCTCTGGAGATCATCTAGTCCAACCCCCAAACAGAAGACAGAACACAAGAACACGGCCTCCAAAAAAGTCAGTAGCAGGAGGGATTGGCTTGATGCATGCTGCAGCTGAAGAAGCGGGTACCCACCACCTCCGTTAATTCAGCGGGAAGTAGGACTGCCTGGCCAACTCAGCAGATATAAGGCTGATGTAGAGAAGGTTTATGGAGGAGGCTTGGATTGTGAAGGAATTGAGAGGCCAAGAATGGCCATAGATCTGTCTTGTATGTGAGGTCCAACTTGTGTCATCCATTGTCAAGTGGATGCCATCATTCATTATCAAGCAGAATTCTAAAAAATTAGGAAGCACCTTTTCATGGAAAAAGTTAGTAACATGGTAAACTTCTTTCTTTGGATAAAAATAAGGATGACTTACTCTAAGCAAAATACCTGAAATTAAATGATCAGATAAGCGAATGAGCCAGATGAAGATTTTTATTGGTGAAGTCAAGTCCTTTCTTTGTAAAATTCAGTGATTGCAAATGGAATTCTTCTGTCACCTTGTATCATGAACCACTTCTGGTGATACTCTTTAAAAAATGACTTCTGTGTTGCAGACTTCTCATCTGGATTTCAGATGCTCTACTAATGGAATAACTAACCTATTTTATTGTTATTTTTTATTTAATTTGTGATTTCTTTATTGTAAAAAACAGCCTAAACTGTAACTAGTTTAATTTTTTAAAAAATAATCATCTATTTTTACACTGTCGAGAGTAGTCTGGGTAGAGCAAAGAGTGACCACAGTAAATTTCATTCAAGTACTCTGTTTTAATTAATAGTTGTAAAGAGATACCACGAATTCAGTATTTTAGCTGCAAAAGCAAATACAGTTCCGTTTTTAAAGAGGTAAGATACCATACAAAAATATTAGACCATTTAAATTTTCCTATTTCATCTTTTTATGAAAAGCAGGGAAAGGAAATTGCAAATATTTAAAATGTCAAACTAATGGAAGTATAAATGATGAACAACTTGTAATGCATGCAAAAAGAAGTCATGGTTTGCTGTGGGACTGTGAAAAAATAACTGAATAATTCATCAGGATAAAATAAATAAGAGTATTTCAATGCAGCAGTTGCAGGTTTGTTTATTGATCTACCTGGGAGAAGTTCTTAAATGTTCATATATATTTAGATATATTCTAACAGATATAATTTTAATCCTTTTCTCCCCATTTTGGAATAATCTCTCTCCTTTTTTTTTTTTAAATGGTTAAGTATATTTTACCATTTTTCTTTTTTAAAGTGGTTTCCAAAGTGTGGGAAACAGCATGAACTCAGCAGGGGCAGATCCCTGTATCCCTGTAGGAGCACTGCGTCCTGAGAAGTCATTCCATTCCCTCCTCCTCTTAGGAGCATCCTTTCGTAACCTAGGGGCTGTGGCAGGGACAGCAGTTAAGAAGGACATCTAAGACCCATTGAGTGCATTGAGGCACCCTGAAACACGTTAATCCCTGGTGTAGCTTAGTTTAAATGATGTGAGTAGGAGTGAGGGAGCCTGGGATGGGAGGCTTCTGAAAACTGCATCCAAGAGGAGGTGCTGCTTAGCTCTTTTTCTGAGATCTTTCAACTTAGCAGGATTTTGGCTTCATGTTGTTGAGATGTGTTTGCCCAGTGATTTATTATAGTCTGTTCAAATGCTTTATTCTGTTGCATTTGCTCCACTGGATGTATTACAATGTATATTACATGGCTGGTGAAGGGGGACACAGCTAAGATAGCATAGGGACAATCAGGAATTAGTATGCAAGGAGGGATGGTATTGTAATAAGGTTCATCATTATTAGTGCCTCTTTAATGGGCTACTCCTTCTTAGTCAAAGACTGCAGTGCAGGCTATTTTGGACATTTTAAGATGCTCAGGCTTTTAACATCATTGATTTTCTCCATCAGTGATACTGCTGTTGTCATTCTTCATCTAGAAAACCTGTACATATGGAAGTAAGATCTAACATACTTCACTCAAAACATGCCCGCACCTAGTCATAATTTTACTTGACATTTTTAACCAACGTTCAGCTTAGGCAGGTCATTTTACTAAAAAAATGAAAGCTGGAAGCTTTCCGTTCTGTTTTCCTTTGGAAATGTAGATAATCTGAAAGCAAATAGTGGACATTCACAGAAGCCGTGCAAAATAAAGGAAGGGTAACAAAATGATTTAGTTCTTCAGGAGTGATTTCTGTGCATTCACACCACTTGCTTTTTCCCCCCCACTGTCTGGGAGGCCAAAAGACTGGTACAGACCTGAGGGAAGTATCTGAGAGCTTCCAGAGCATCCCGTGATTCTGCAGGCATCTCAGCAGCATCACACTCTAATATCAAGGACTTTAGGCAGTGCTCAAAGAATGGCCATGGCTACCAGGGAACCATCTTTATTTGCTGCAGCTTTATGGGCTGGTTTGGTTGGTTTGTGGTAGCCTCTCCCAAGAAGGTGTCACAATTCAAAAGTGTGTGCTATGTCCTACTCACCTGACTGGCTTTTTCTGTCAATTGCAGTTATATAGTATTTTAACACTGATCCTGCAGACCAGAGGCTTGTATAAATAAGACCCTTTATTGCACGTTGTTCTGTTGGATCAAAGTCTTGCACTCGGTTCTGAAGCCAGCACTTTTGCAGTCTTTGTATTTTAATGATATGTTCTATACTTCTGTTTGGAAGGAACATGAAGCTTAGATGCTAAATATGCTACTGCTAGTTGTTCAGAAATTTGATTCTAAAGCACAGCTTAAGCCATTGAAAAATTGGTGGTAATTAACTGAATATTTCCTTTCTGCTTGGTTTAAAAAGGTCAGCCCTTCTTTGTGCCAGTTTTCAAATCTTTCCAGCATTATTCTTTAATTTCCTAGACAGTGTGCCAAACACCTGGAAATACAATTTCCAGATCTGCACCTTTTGGATATCAAGTGTGAGCATACAATGGAGTGATAAGTTAATAAACATAAGCCATTCATATTCTGCAGGGCAGATACTGCAGGTCATTAGTAAGCTGCAAGTGGCTCTCAATGCATTGTGTGTGCATGAGTACTTTCACAGAAGATTGTGAGCCTTTATAGGTGATTCAGCCTTATGCCCTACAGAAACATATTGCAGGAAGGAAGACTGCTAGAAATTAAAAGTAATTGAGGTTCCAATACATGACAACAATAACAGTTTGGCTTCCCTTTTTGTGATGATCTCCTGCTTGTAAATTGCCAGGAGCAATATTCTTTACTTGCTTATTCCAACTGAAGGATTTGCAAAGGTAACTAATTTCATCCTCTGATTCACTTCTTAGAAATCCCTTTTTTCTTTTCTCTTCCAAAAAAGTAACCTGAATTCTTCTAATTTGTCATGGTGGTTATTTTTGGGGTGGTAAAATCATAAGCATTACCAGCAGAATCATGAACATTCCTTCTTGTACTGTTTGTAACAGAACCCTGTTTTGAAGCTTGATGTAGTTCTGAAAGGATATTACAGTCTGCTGAAATTATCTTTAAAGTGCTTGGAAATTGCTGATAAAATGCATAAATTACTTTCCTTATGCTATATGTATATCCTTGTGCATGTGTAAGGATGTTTATACACATAATGCAAGAAAACATGTGCAAGTTACATTCACTTTTGTATATATATAGACACACTCAGATGCAATATTTTTAAAAATCTAGACAAAGATTTATTTAATTGACGCATATTGGTGTATCCATGCAATCTCTAGCATCCTTCACCTCAACATACATTTGTTATTTTAACAAGTCATTATACTTTTATAAATGAAGACTAAACACTCTACAATTCTAATTTATCTTCAGATGAAACAATGACCTTGTGAGATATCCAGAGAATTACTTTCTGCATTTTGGTCAGGTTTTGGGGTTTTTTTTTTGTTTGGGTTTTTTTGGGGGTTTAATGCCTACCATGCAATGACAAAGGTTTATTCTCCCTTTGTTCTTTTCAGAGTGCTGCAGCAGCTCCCAGTCCAGTGCTAGGAAACATTCCCCCAGGAGATGGCATGCCAGTAGGTCCTGTACCACCGGGGTTTTTTCAGGTATTCAGAAAAATTATAATTACAGGAATTTTAGGATTGAAAATCCTCCGTTATACTGTTTACAAGTTTGTAGAAAAGGTCCTGTTCTAAACTGTGTCTCACTATGTGGTGCAATACTTGACAGTTTATTTTTTAACAAATAGGTGGAAAGGAAGGGATCTCTCTGACTGACATTTATGAAGTGATACAGCACAACTCGTTTCAAAATTTCAAGCGTAAGAAATGGTGCCAGTTTATGAGTGGAGGATGAAAATGTCTGAATATAGTTTTAAAAGAATTTCTTATGATAATATACATACATTGCATTGAAACTTTGAAGTAAGAACGCTGTTGGCTGTGTTAAGCTCTGTGGTAAAGCCACAGGCCAGATTTTTAAGATGTTGACGTTTCAGTGGAAATTAGACCTAGGCAATTAAGAATATCCCACTGAGCATCTCCTTGCACATTAAAGATCTCAACAGTAATGCCTAAAAAAACAAGCCATGCCTAAAAAAAAACAAGCCAAGGATTTAGACTGTATGTTGCTTCTATTAAGTTTTGTCATAAATGAAACTCAATACCCACTTAGCACTTTGGACATTAACAGTACAGAATACTATGATGGAAAAAAATGGCAGCTTTTAGTGCAAGCCCAACCTAGGAGTTGTAATGCAAGGTTGGACTGCTCATGTGAGCTCGCTTGCTTCTCGTCTTCACCAAAGCTCGGTGGTGTTTCTCCACACTGGCAAACGGTGGCTGTGGCAGGAGCAAAAAATAGCAGCATCTCTAGCATTGAAACAGCTCTTTAGGAAGAACAGAGATTTCTTCTTCACCTGCTTGATCTCAGGATATGAAAGAAACAACCCAGATTTCCAGGATTGTGATGCGGGGAGCACGTCACGATAGGATGTTTCTGTAAAATTCAAGTGCTGAAATCTAGGGAGAGACCAGTGTATTTTTCCCATTTCCCTGAGATTCATAGAGAAAAAAAGGGTATTTCATCTGGAAAAAAAAGAAGAAATGTTTGATTTATTTTCTTTATGCAAATGGTGATTGTACGAAAATGGCAGGATATCAGCAGTCTTTATTTGCACTGCAAGTGACAACGTTATTTGTATGGTCCTCCTTCTCCTACAGAGGGATATACTGCTATCTGCAGTATTGATAACTACATAAAAAAGCCCTAAACCTGGCATGAGCATGTTGTTTCCTTCATCAGCTCAAAAACTGAGGCATGATTTTGAATGCATGAATGAAAAGATATTTGCAAGTAAAGCAGAAAATATCTTACTGTTGCCAGTCACAAAAGTTGGCAGAACTGATTAATTATTTTATTTCTGCTTTTACTATTTTGAACAGCTGGTTAGGTACATCTTTTTTAAACACAATTTTATCTTGATTTTTTATATTGTATAAATATTTCACTTTTTCTTATTTTATCCGCCCACTCCAGTTGTAATGTCAAAGGAATTAAAGTTTGAAGTTTTTTTCTTTTACTGTCTTTGAGGACAATTAAGAGGGGGAAGGGGCACAGATAGGACAAGTATGTGAAGTATAGAGGAGAGAGTAACTATTTTAAAGGTTTTGCAGTAGGAGGGTGTGGGAGTTTTGTTTTTAGAAGTGTGAAAAGGCTTCTAGCCACTCTAAATCTTTAAAGATATAAGAAAGACAAGATGATAGAAAGCTAATTATGGGTAAACTTTCCTAGTCTGTCAGTATCTGACTTCAGTCTTACTTGAAGCCCCACCAGCAGCCTGCTCTTTTTGCAAGGCCTGGGACTGAAAATAAACAGAGGAAAATCCATTTTCAGTGCAACACAAATTGTGACATTAATCAGAGCTACCATCAACTCAATATCACGGCCAACGAGTCTTCTGCAGGGCAGGTTCCAAGAGCTGGTCTGGACTCCTCCAAACACCACCCTTCACCTCTCCTTGAAACTGCTGGGTCTGTGCCATCATGTTTCTCTGGGACACCCAATACTCAAGATTAGTCCCTTCCATTTTAGCTGACAGAGATCTACCTTCCTCAGCTGAACGGCCTTGTCAACAGAAGAAACATTTTTCAAGAGACTAATAGTTTTCGCTGTGGTCGTTTGCTTAAGAATACACATAGACAAGTAAAATGTGATTGAGCAAATCCAACTGCAGGTGTGGTAGCGGGTGCACTGATATGGTTGGGAGTGATCCCAGCAAGGGGAACTGAGCCAAGATCCAGTCAGTTACATCGTGGTGTGCTGAAACCAAAAGGTGTCTGTACAGCAAATAAGTACCAACAGTCGGTGACAATGTGTTGTGGTGTTGGAGTGAGGGTTGTCAAGAAGCAGTTAATACCTGGTTGTGATGCTTTAGGAGCTGAATCTTAGCAATGTCAATTTAGCTGAGGACAAGAAAATATATTGGCAGACGTAGCCCAATATGTGAACCTTGAAACCAAGGAGCATCATCTGCTGCTGCAAAAAGCAGGTGAAAAGAGAAGCATGAAAGAGAAAGTCATGGTCAAAACTCCATACTTCCTTCACAGGTGCTTTCTTTCTAGTATGCCTTTAACCAGTCAGTTTCTGAATTCTCTTCTGCAATTCCTCTGATCCCAACTGATCACAAGAGTAAACCAAAACCACCACAGAACACATCTCAGTCTGAGTACTGACAAACTTCTATCAACTGCCGCTCTTCTTTCACTGAAAGTTTGGCAACTCTCAGTGTTGCAACTCACTCACAGGGTATGAAAATGAACAATTTTGGTTTTTAAGAGTCAGAAGTTTGTAGAAACAGTGGGAGAATGGTGCTTATATCCATATGTAGTCCAGTAAGACTTTGCACTACAAAAACTTTGCGGCCTTTCCACTTTTTGCAGCCTAAAATTTATCTAGAAGGTCGTTCCTGGAATGATATGGATGCCTTTTGTTTCTTGGTGAAGTGTTTGGATTGGCCTAAGCGAAAGCTGTTGACAGCCACTACCTTCCAGGGCTGCTTGGGTAACTCAGAATTGCTAGATGATTTAGAGTCATTTCATCTCTTGTCAGTGCTGGCTCTTGGTTTTGCACTGTGACTCTATTTTGGTGAGTGGCACTGACCACTGATGGGGGCAGAAGCAAAATGGATGCTCTTGCTGCTGCAATTGCTTCTTATCAGACAGGTCAGGGGAAGGTGGGGACTGTGCTGGGAACCAAGAAACATTACCTGGGTTCCGGTTTTATTGGCATTGCTGACCACTAGTATTATTTCTGTGGCCTTTATTCCTTACCAAAGAAAATAATTTTCTTTTATTTTTTATTTTTTTTTTATGAAAGAAAATACCAGTACACTAGTATAGCACATAGAGGAAGAAGTAGTGTAGCACGTATGGGAGAAGTGTGGTTTCTCACACAGAATCTGGTAAAACTCTTCGTCAAATGAGTTTTTCATGTATATGTAGGCCACTACCACTGATGTTAATTAGCAGTCTCTATATGGCATTTTATGCCCGGTCCACAGAAGTGGAGCTCTGAACCCAGCAGTTGGAATATGTCTTGTATCTCTCAGTACTTGTATTTTTATACTTCAGTTCAGGTAATGGGTGATGATCCCTACAGTGCTGAGGGTCCGAAATGCAGTGCCTTACAATGATACAGTGAAAGGGAGGTGGTAGAGTTGTGCACAACTATTGTAGTCAACTAAATGCCATTTTTTTAAAAAGTGAGAATTGTTTACAGTGTCAAAAATGAAATTTGAAAAGTCAGGAAAACAGGTTTATGCGGAGTTCGGATGTGCCTCAATTTAGTCTACTGGTATGTATGTATTTTATTGTAACTTTAAATTTCATAGTAACATTTTTTTTTCCCCATCTGCTATCAGTACGTAGAATAGGTGATCCTCTGGAAATAAATTGGGGTTATACAGTAACTGCATCTGCTCTTGGTTCATTAGCAGCAAAACTGGATGTGTGGGACTACAGGAGGAGTGAAAAGAATAGTTCTGTCATACAAGGCTGTTAACTCTTAATAGGAGAACTCAGGAAAATTTTAGAGTTTATTTTGTCTCAGGCTGAAATAACAGGTCAGGTATAGTTCAATGAGGGTGATGTCTGGTGGGTCAGTGCTTCTGGTAAGTTGCTTTATTAAATACGTAGCCTCAGAGAAGGTTGATGTTTGGGAGTCAGAGTGTGAGCCCGGATGCAAAAAGCTGCATGCAATTCATTCCTAAGTTTCCCACGTTTTTCCCGGGTTACCCAAGACTGGTCATTTCAATTCTCTTTTTTTCATGTTTCTCCACCTACAAAGCAGAATGTCATAAGGGAAGATCCTTTTAAAAGATTATTTATCTTGTGGGCAATAGACACCATAAAACAATCCTAGATTGCATGAGGTGGCTGTAGACATTCCTGAACTGCTCATTTGTCTGTCTCAAAATTCATCATCAATTTGCCAGTTTTCCTTTCTAGACCACATCCTGTACATGAGCTAAGATGTGAGGAAGGCACTTAGCTACCATGTTAATAAAATAAAGTAATTTAGGATATTATCTGCACCTCTTCTACCATCAGAGCTACTCTGTTAGTAGTTCCTTCGTATGGCCATCCATGACCTAGTCTTTGTCCCTCTTCTTGGAGTCCTATCTGATACTGAAATCGTAGAGCAACTGGAGGACTGAATAAGTTTATATATGTGTAATTACCTTCAGGTCTAGACTTTAGAGGATGCATGTAATGTGGGCTGCCAGAGCTTTATGCAAGGTTTTAATAAACTCAGTTTCGGTGAGTTAAATTCATCCACTTGTGATCAAATGTGCTCAGATAGTGTTCAGTACTAGCGTCATTCCCTTCTTCTTGAGAACAATGAGATCAGAAAAAAAACATCATATTTTTACACTTGCATGTGTTGGTAGAGTATGCCTTCAGGAAATAATGACATGAACATTTGGATATACTGTCATGGAAGTTTTGAAGCCCGGATACACTTCTGTCCCATGGCACACACCAGTGTGTTCAGGTGGGAACTGCTGCTCTTCAGGTAGGGAAGTGCTGGCCCATTACCATCCATC